AGTTCGTCATATTGATGACTTCATAAAATGGTAGATTCTCATTTCCTTAATGCTTACTGTACAAGCACTTTCAGCCAATGATTTATCATATCTTTATCGGATAAAATGAAAAATACTTTTTAAATTTCAAAAAAAGTTTACTAAAATCTATTAGATTTCATTCATTCTTCGATAATGTGTACTCAACTTTAGCAAACAGAAAAAAGACACCTACTTTTCTTAAATCATGCAGGTACTGCAGCATCTCACATGTACAATTTCGATTTTTTTCTCTTAGCCTTCAAGGTTCAACTGCAATCCAACTCAAATAGTAGGTCGTGTCACTATGAAAGAAATCGTGAGTCTACCAAAACCTTGCTCTAGTTCACGATTTTTCATTGTGGATTCTCAGAAATCGTTCAATCTAAATCATATTCCTTGCCGATGTTTTTCTTACATTGAGATTTAATGGTATGGAACCCTTGGGGATTGCGGTGGTCAAAAAAATTATGAATGAGTCAACAACTTGCTCTGGACAGATGTTTTTCATTTGTATGTCGATAGAACTAATGTTATACTCTGAATGGAAATTTTTGAAGTGATAGTGAAACAAGATGGGTGTGACGAAGTGCGTGTAGATGTGAGAGTTTGGGTGATGTTCTTTTCTTCTCTTACACAATGATGAAGACACAATGGCTCTCGGTCGGAGTTTTGTGTTATGACTCAATCAGAGCTATGCGGCGAGCTGGAATGACAACGGAATGAAAAAAAAAAAGGTAAACCCTGGTAAAACTAGAAGCACGCACCTACTGTTATCCGGGTGCAGTCAATAAGATTAGAATAGACATCTATTCTTTATCATATATATACAAGAGAACATTACGGATCTAACATCACCATTCTCATTTCAGTTTACATCCACATTCCCGTCTTTATTGTGACTTGTACACTCGCTTTCATGAACGAATTGACATGTGCGTCAAACCAAATGATAACAGCAACATTATAGATTACACATTCACAACGAGTTGTAATCAGCCATTTGAATTTTTTCATTGTGCAAAATAATCAAATTTCGAGTAATAGGCATTGGCATTCTAAATGATTAGTCGTGTAGCGTCATTATCTCTTTCTTATCGATATCTTGAGAATATAAAAATCGATTGTTATCGTGTCAATCAATAAGAGAATAAAACTAGTCTTATGCCCGTCAACAACAAACTCTCGAACTTTCTACACATTTTTTACTCTTCGAAACCTAAGATGAGAATGTTTTGAGACGTTCTATCTACTAAATTATGATTTTACTTTTTTTTCTTTCACATAAAATATTCATTCCTAGAAGCATAATATCCTATAACACTACCAGAAGTCTTCTTATTCGTGAAAAACTAATTTAATTTCAAGCTACAAAATTGAACATAACAATATATAAATTAATCAATTTCATTAATACCAACGAGGAGATTGCACTTAGTGGCATCAACACGCGAACGGTGATGTTATAATTAACGAATCTTGTTGCATTCGAGACACATGTGTTGTATTGCCATTATTTCATAATTTCTTGTTTTTGAAAATTGATACATTTACATGGAACAATTTTATAAAAATCTCTACAAAAATATAAAGATATTTAATATCATTCACTTCATAAAAATGATCATTTAGTTGATTTACAATTTTGAAAAAAAATTTATCTTATCTGATTAAGAGTATCATTAGATAGAATTACGTAATATGATAACTATACTATTTTATTGATAAAAATTTTGAAAAACAATTTTTATCTTACAAATCAAAAAATTTCAATTTGCCTTTTTGAGTTAAAACTACTAAACAATTTTTCGAAACGAAAAATGTTGCTAAATCAATGGGTTCAGCACATTCTATCATTCGTTTTGTTTGTGCATTTTCGTCAAGAATAGTAACAAATGTTGAACCAGTATGAACAACAAGCCAGTTTATAAATGAATTCGATAACGATATTAATCGTCGATTAAATTCACTTTTATCAAGTTGTATTGATGAAATGAGTAACATTGATCGATCTCTTAATTCAAAATGCCAATGTTGTCTATCATCTAGAACTGTTATTCCAATTAAATTTGAATTTATCTCTGACATAGCAATACTCATTATAATTTCATTTTGTTTAACAATATTTTCATATCTATGAACAATTGTCCAATGACTCATATTGTATTCATCAATAGAACTATTACGTTCATCATAAGTAATGAAAAGAGTTTCATTTGAACAGATACAACGAAGAAATTCCATTTTATCTCTCTTTGGTTTAACTGCTTCAATATGTTGCATTGAATCCGATGTTACAATGTCATCATCATATGTATAAAGTCGATTATCAGCTAATATAATAAATTTATTGAGAAAAGATGACCAACAACTATCCCATATTGATTGATCTTCATACCATGGTATTTGTTTTTGTTGACCATTAACATTAATAATCGATAAACGTTTATTTTTTCTTGTGTGTTGATAATGAAGAAATGTTGAATTTGATGATGAAGCAACTCCTAAAACATGCCAATCTGCACCTCTAACATCTAAACTTATTCTTGGTTTTGTTGTTAATAATCGATCGACATAAATATTTCGTTGATTTCTTTGTACTTTACTTTGTTTCGTGACAACTTGAAGATATGTATTCCAATCAATTGGTACTATTCGAATTTCAGCTGTAGTTAATAGAGAATCTTCTACTTGTAACTTCAAATCATTTAATTTTGTCGTTAATCGTTCAAGATCTAATTCATATATATTATTTGTTCGTTGTCTTTGTTGTAATTCTTCAGTTAATTGTTGAAATTCTGGTTCAAATCGTTCAGTTGCGATTGTATCAGATCGACGACGAATTTTTTCTCTTGATGCTTCAGCGATTTCTTTGACTTGTCGAATAGTATCAGCTTCCCATCGATCAATTTTCTTTATAAGTTCAGTATTTTCTGTTAGACTATCATATGATGGTGGAAGAGCAAGAGTTTGTTGTAAATTTGAATATTCAGATGTAAGATAATCGAATTGTTGAGTTAAATATTGTCGATGTTCTGAAAAATGACGTTCACAAAACAATTGGCGACATCCATCACATCGATTGGAACCGCGGTCACATTCTCGACATGGAGCAGTTGGAGATGCCATAGTATTAATCTAGAAGAAATCTGTACAATTGAATATCATTTTTTTATTGAACCACTTTGATGGAGAACATACAAAAAAAAAAACGAGCAATAATATAACTCATGTTTGATAGAATGACATTTGTTTCTCTTTTTTTCTTCTTTCCTTCTCTTCGGAAGAACAGAAAAAAAAAATGATGGTCTATGTAACTGTGTACTAGAACACGATAAAATACTTACGTTGAAAGAGTCTCTTTCCTTTCAGTCCATCGAGACAGAAAAAAGACACGAGGAAACCGTCAGTTGCAAGTACCATCTATGCTTCAAAACATTTTCTTTGGTCTCATATGTATTTTTTTTTATTTATTCATTAGCAGAAAATTTTTTTTTATACAAATTTATTTTATTATTTAGCTAAATTGTTTATATGCACTTGAAGATTATTTTTTGATTGGTCTGCCCTCTTCAGTAATATCGTTATTTGTTTAAAGCCAATTAGAAAAAAAAATATATAGTCGAACATTAACGTTTGAATTAGTTAAATAATTTGTTTTTAGACAATCATAACGTTTCGATAGTTGTACTATAATTTTCTGTAATACAAATACATTTAACAGTTGAAGAAACACTTTGATTTTTATTACAAAAAAAACATTTACAAAATTCGTAATTCCAATTGATTGGTTTCGGTAAAACAAAAAAAAATAAATAGTACGTGATCTGGTGAAAAAAAGCATAGCTGGAATTGCCAGTCAATGTCGAAATATTTTCCACCAATGCACTTTGGTGAGACTGATTTTTAATAGCCCATTTTTATAATAAATAAAGAAAAAAACTAACATTGAACATTTATGGTATTAATTTCTTCTGATGAATTAAAACTTCGGAGTTATAGACAAAAATTATGAAATTGAATTGTGCGACATCTACTGTTGCATAGTTCTTTTACGCTCTGAAATGCGTGAGACTAATTTTATTGAAAAAATAAAAANGAATTTGATAGAATTTCATTGTTTACAAATGAAACACCCTGAGACTGAATGAATCTGATGGACTAGTACCAATATTTGTGGTCCAATACGGTCACAGCAGTAAAATTCGAAACATTTTTTTGAAAACTATCGCGGCAGCGGCGCGGCAGCTTTTTTTATAAGTCATCGCGGCACGGCAACTTTTTTTTAATAAGCCATCGCGGCGCGGCAGCGGCGCGGTAACTTTTTTTTTCTAATGCCGCGGCGCGGCAGCGGCAGGTTTTCAGCCGCGATGGACATCTCTGATATGTCGTCCATTGATATTAGCTGAAGAGTAAATAACAAACAATTGATAATATTATTTTCAGCACCATCTATAAATATAATGACGATATGACTTAGAGCTCTTTTTTTTTCATCGTAATACTTGTGATGTATCGACTCGAAGGATAAAAGCAATAATATAATCTCATTGAAAAAGCTTTGTATTCTAATAGATAAATATGAAGTGAGAAATCTTATTTTTCTCAATGTTTAGTATTATTTCTAGAAAATTAATGTACATGTTTTCCAGTATGCTTGATTATTTGAATCAGAAATGTAAAAATTCCGCAGTCATCTTATATTGCAACAAACATGTTTATTGAGATCCGATTAATTGACATGTACAACATTGAAATTATACTAAGATCGTTATTATATATTATAGAGGATAAGTCAAAGGTCTTTGAAGAAAAAATTATTATTGAATTAACTATGTATAATTAAGTATTATATGAAAATGAATTATTATTATTAAAAAAAAATTAATATATTTAAATTTTGTCTATAATCAAAGATTGATTTGTTTTTAATAATAAAAAAAAAAAAAGTAAAAATAAAATCATCGATGAGCATTAGTAAATCAAGCAAATATTCTGTTTTTGATTGAGTTTGCTGGTATTTGACGTTCATGTTTTTGCAGTTTTAATTGACGACTTATCTTGATACTATCAACTTGTCTCTTAACTGTTGGTATAGCCACTAATTCATTGATTATTTGATAGACTTGATTAAGTGAAAGTCTTTCGTTTGATCCAAATAATTGTTGACTATTTTCTTGACGAAGTCTTTTTATTGTATTTAATACTTCTCTTACTTGTCTGTTCATATTAGAATTAATATTACAAATCTGAGAAATTTCTTGTTCTTCTTCAAGAAATCGTTCGATTATAGGTAGAAATGGATCATCATCAGTTGATGGTCCTTGTTGTCGTAAGAAATGATGAAGTCTATCACATTTATATAGAAAATTACGAAAAGAACTTTGCCATCGTTCATTTTTAAGACCTGCTGATAGTGAAACAAATTCATATGTTACTATAGATTCAATAAAAAAATTTTTTCCATTTGTTGGACAACGACGATGTTGATTTGTATTGGTTTTCAAAATAGATGGCTGATATTGAGTTAACCAAAATGGACCTACCTCGACAATATTAATTTGTGCACAATGCCTACACATATCAATGTTAACTGGATTCGAATTTAATACCATATGATTAGCATTTAATCTAGCTTCGTTTAATTTCGAATTATAAATTATTAATCGTAGTGTTTCCATGAGAGGTCGAGCAAGCATAGATATATCAAGAGTAGCTTTTCTTAGAGATATCCATTCTTCTAGATAATATGGTTGACATCTTTGAATAAAATTAAGTAAACAAACTGATTCTGTTACTGATGTATTCCAACTACTAGTATATTTTTGTCTTTGATAATCATCAAAGTCAACATTGCATTTTCTTGCAGCTAAATATCGAAATGATTCACTATTAAAACAAAATGTATTTTCTTTTTTAAATGGAATATCATTAAGATGTTTATCATTGAGCATTTTGCGAAGTAATGGACCAGTATCACATGATGCGTAAAAAGTTTTTTGAGCGTTTGTAGAGCAGAAAATAATATTATTATAACCAATTGGTGTTAAATAAGTTAATAATTGATTAACACATAAATGAAAAAATACATTTAATTGAGAAGCATGTGATTTGAGTAATAAACAAATAGCATTCAAATGAGATAAATTATCGATATAAGTCAATATATGGTCCATAATTTTCACATCTTGATTGATTCCTCGTATATCACCAATACCAGGTGTATCAATTAAACGTAAACGTAATCTGTCATTCGAATCGAATACATATGATTTACATTGTTGTGTTGCTGATTGACCTTTATTGTTCATGATTTTTATTTGAATCAACATTCCCAAGTTTGACAATAAATTCTTCGAATTGGCTACCAACAGTAATGAGAAATGAAACTGGAATTAATACAACTGGTTCATCTCGTTCAGCTTGTTGAAGATAATCAAATTTTAAGTAGTTGGCAAATGCATTAATGAATGTAGATTTTCCAACACCTGTTTCTCCCAAGAGCAGTACGTTAATTTCGATCAATCGTTCTACTGAAGTTCTAGATGTTGGTGTTGGAGGTATAGGTTGTTTTATTTGAGGTTTAGATGGTACTGGAATTTGTGGAAATGATGATCTTACTTTTTTCTTTGCGGATGATGTAGATGAATCAGCACGTGACGGCTGAGGTTCTATTTTTAAATAGAAATATTTATTTGGTTTTAATACTTGAAAATTTGTTAACTCTGAAAATTAGCTTTTTCATTTTTTTCATACAGTCTGAATTAATCCTGATTGACTATTATTGGTTAATTAAGTTATTAGATACATTCATGATGTCGACTATATTCGAGCATCTATACTATCAATTATGAAATGACAATTTTTAGAAAATGAATGATCGTTATATGCTATTGATAATTCGTTCGATTGAATACTGAGTGTGTTTGTTTATTTTTTATGCAGTCATTGCTATTAGTAAGGCTGGTTGAAATAATTTTAATAAAAAATAGCTTTAAGCTAGTCGACTGTTCTCTGGAGAGAAGACTTCAATATCATCTATGAAACTAATTAAAAGACGAGTTTTTTCTTCTAACTTGATCTATTACCTGTTATTCGATCATGGTAATTTTTCGGTGTTTCTGTTAATGGTAATCGTACAATGATAGAGTTTTCTAATCTTTCTTCAAAGTAAGTAAAATCAATATAGATTAAATTTATTCGTTGTGCTGCATGCTGACGCTCTAAAGTTAATTCTTGATATATTTGTTGCCATCTATCTTGTTGTATACGTTCTAAACGATCACTAGAATGCCAAAGAATTACAGGAAAATTTTCATTAGAGTAAGCACGTTTAAGCAAGACATCAGTATCATTAATTGTCATTTTTACTGTTTGATTAGGACGGATATCAAGTGCATTGATATATTCAATTTGATTGTTCTTTAATTTTTTGATTAATATTGATTTATTGTACAATCGTTGAATACTAGTCCGAAATTTTTCCATTTCAGTTTTACGTAAACATTCATAACGTAGATCTACAATGATATTGTCTAATACTAGTGGTCTGACACGTTGTCGACGAACATCTGCAAGTACTCTTTGAAGACGGTCTTGAAGATTTTCTTGCGAATCTAATATAAAACGATACTGTTGTTGAACATCTTTTAAACGTTGATTAAGTGTTGCATCTGAAAAATTTATCGGAAGATTGTGTATGATATCTGTAAGATCTTTTATCTGATTTCTTATACGATTAATTACCATCTCAATTCGTGCAATATGAGGATCAGTTGGATTAGGCAAAGAATATGGATCTGAAAATTGTGGACCACTATAAAGTCATCTTAATGGTTGCATCGTATACATAAGTGGGTGCTGCAAGTTCGTATTTTTTTGCCAATCTTGTATTCTAGTGAGAACATCTAACATTGATGTTTTTGATGGATCGACACATGTTTCGGATCCAAATACAGTAGTATCAGTCAATTGATTGATGAGACGTCGGTCAGTATCATTAAGTTGAATTGGAATCTGATTATTTTTAAGTTGATTACAAATATTAAGAAGTACATGGTTGATCGCATTGACAGATTGATTATTTGGAATTTGTATAATACATAAAATTTCAATACCCCATAAGATTTTCGTTATCATATGACTCGCCTTAGTTGGATCTCTTGGTGCTCCAACGATTTTATCAGCTTTTAGAGCTTTAATATTTAATTTTTCTTTTCTATCTCTATAAGAATAATATAGAAAACGAGTTTTCTCATTAATAGGTCGATTATATTCAATAAGACGACCAACGCCTGATGGTGTTACCATTTGAAGACAAATACTCTGTCGAATAGCATCATCAAAGTCGATATCTCTTAGAAAACTATTAAGTTCTCTCGATTGATCACCGGAAAATAGGCGACATACAGAACGTTGACGTGGCGTTTTTATTTCAATACTTCGAGCAGAATGTCGATCAACTAAATTATCTGTGGAAGCATCATACAGTGAATCTAATCGACCTGAAGCATCGATCACTTTCCGTTCAATTGGATATCCATTTTGAGATGCTAACAAGTTCAGACTTGACTGACTGCGCAATTTCTCATCCATATACTCATTATTTACTGATAAATAAATCCTTTGATTTGACAATCTAGAAAAGAAATTGGAATATTTCATTTGCAAAATTCTAATTTTTTTAAAAAAACATGTAAAAATATTATTAAAAGTAAAATAGTTCGTAGTTTAAAGAAAAAAAAAGGTTCAATGGAGAACTACAGTAGTAGCAGGTCATATGAGTCTATAACATCTTCCTTAAAAGTTATGATCAATTAATAAAGAATACTCAGTAACTTCGTTATTATTTCAATAAATCACTTCTATAATTTCGCCCTTAAGTTGATTTGCACCATTTATGTCAGTGTGGTCAAGTATTTTGAAACTAGTGGCGTATCCAGAAAATCGTGGGTGGAATGGCAGTGCCCGCCGTCCTTAAAAACTCTCTCCACTTTCATTCAAATGTTTTTTCAGTATAAATCAAGTTATTCGTTTGCCTAGTTCATAGTGAATGACACAAAACAGTATGTCTATTCTTTTATTAAATTAAATTAACAAAAGAAAGAAAAAACGGAAAATAAACAAAAAAAATCGTTTCAACAGTATTCAACTGTTCTTATGTTGAATTGAGAAAGAATCAATTACCTTTTCATAATCAACAATAATCTCTCTCTCTCTCTGTCGATGCCTAATAATGACAAAGCACTAAGTCTGATATCGAGCATACTATTGTGTGCAGTCATTTAGATAAGTTTCTTTTTTGGTGAAAGCAGTAGATGTTCTTTTTGAACTTTAACAGAGGTTGTATCACAATGAGATGCGCCCAGATGGCAAATGAAACATCCAACTGTCCCAAAAGACTTTTTCTCTCATAATTGCTCTTTTATTTCAGCATCGTGGCGTGAGAGCCCCTAACGTCCCTCGTCTTCCACCTCCCACACTGGATAACCAGGCGACAAAATCGAATTTTGAGATTTGAGCGTGTAGCAAAGCTAGCATAAAAGCTACTATGGTGTTGCATTTAAGTACATCTTGGATGCTACTTTATAGTAAGTGTCTGTTAAGCAAGCAGGTACCACAAAGTACATAAAATGGGTGAATATCATTAATAGGGTCGTATAAGTCAAATGCATGTCTTAAATTGAGGATCTACTTATTTACATTAGTTATTATATAGTTATACAGTTTCATGTATTTACTGTGTACTACAAGCCATTTGGACTTCTTGAAGTTCTTTCGATTATAATAAAATCAAAAACTTACACTCAGTATAGTAAAAAAATAAGCACTGATCAATAATGCAGTTATTTGCTTAGATTTTCATATTTCTAGCCTATCAAGATTCGAATAGATAAATAAACAGCAAACGTATGCGAACTTCTGATTTAATATTTACCTTTTCATTTTAAAATCGGTTCTTTAACTCTTTCTTAGCAATCAAATATATGAAAAAAACATGCATAAGTTCTTTTGTAAGACGTATATCCCCGAACAAAAATCTTTCTCCTCTTTATTTTTTTACGATGTCAAACGTTGTTTTAAATTTATTACTGAGTAGAGATATTATATGAAATTTTTATTTCATTTTGGTGTACAGATTATACTAATAAAACTCTCATATCATATCTTTACTTCATAATAAATTTGATACAAATCATGGCAGCATAAAAAGACATAAGGGAAAAAACTTTTCTTCGACGGTGCAATATGATTTGTTTCATACGTTTATAATTTTCCCGTTCGTAAAAAACGTTGAGCTGCACGGTCTTTCTAAATTTCGTCCGAAATAGATGATGTTAGTAGAACTGAATAAGTTTTGTAGTAAGAGCTAACAAAGATTGCAACACACACTATGAGTATCCAGAAATTTAGGTTTTAAACAGAACTTTGAAAGTATGAAATAATTGGAAACTCATTTTAATATGTTTCATGACATATTACAGAATGATTTCAAACTTCGTATAACATTTATAAAAATGTTGTACAACACACCAAAGATAAGTTTCTGAAACTCGCGAAATACTATAAACTGACCCGAAGTACTTCTATCATTTCATTTTTTTATGACAAACTTCATAGCATCAGGGAGTTCATTTACACGCCACAACTATACTTGCGTCAAACCTGAACATTTGAATTTGATGAATTTCCTTCAATATTCGTTGACTCGAGTTTGGGAACTTTTTTCCGCCCACATCTGTACATTGTCAAAATATTATCTGATGCATAAGTAAGAATTATAAAAAAGGAACTGTCTTCTATATAAGCTTTTACCTACACTGAAAAAAAATGGTACGACACCGAACCCAAAAGGGTGGTTTGGACTAAAAAAAGGTTTCGTGCATAATATGGAAACTAAAAGGATTTCGATTTCGTTTCAATTCTCTGAACCCTTTTAGATTTCGTAGATAGAACTACGAAACACTTGAAAAAGTATTCTAAGTCTGTGACGATTATTTTTAGGTACCCGAATTTTTTACGAAACCTTTTGAGGGTTCCGTGTTTATTTCGAAAATGGTTTGGTGCATTAGAAAAAATTAGTATGATTACCAAACCCGTTTTAAAATGAATACGGAACCGTCAAAAAGGTTTCGTAAAAACTTCGGTTGCCTGAAAATAATCGTCATAGACTTAGAATACTTTTTCAACTGTTTCATAGTTCTATCTACGAAACCTAAAAGGGTTCAGAGAATTGCAACGAAATCCTTTAAGGTTCCGTACTATGCGCGAAACCTTTTTTTAGTCCAAAACACTCTTTTGGATTCGGTGTCGTATCATTTGTTTTTTCAGTGTAGTTCAACTATTCACTGAGCTTAAGTGTTTTTTGCGACTAACGTTGACCAATCAGATCATAAACAGTCAGTATCATGAAAAAAAAGCAACTGTAGCATCAATCCTCGTTAGGGTTTATATGGCTTTCTAACAATTGTCCATTAATAAGTATGCTTTAGTTTGTCTCAAATGCCAAACTTTAGTTCTTCTGAGTTGTATGCATCAGTCTCTTACTAAGCTTTTTATGATTTGCTATCAAGAGAGTTTTTCCGAGCAATAAACTACTAAAACGCATACTTTTTTAAAGATGTTTGACATATACGTATATGAGTGTTCCACTTTAACCAAACCATGAACTTTCTCTTAAAAGACTTAATATTTGTATTTAGATAATTCGCATATTTAAAGATGAATATCGAATGAAAACTATAAATGAGGTCTAGTTTGTACTCTAATAATTTTTATCTGCAAGGATTCCAAAGATGGAAACGATTTATTGATGATAATTTGCCTCAGTTCCTCGGAGAATAATTAGTGCATGGCAGATTTATATAATACATAATTAATAACTGTATCAAGTGTATGAAAAACCATTGTTGTCTCATGTTACTAAAAAACATTATAATGGAACAGTTAATTTTTATTGTGTTATTCGCAGTTTTCAAAAGCCAAAAACTTCATATTCCAGGAATCTTTCGCATGAGAGGGGCTAGGTAAGCGCCGATAATCATTATGAAGTGTCAGTTATATGTACACAAAATATTAACTTAATAGCTGCAATCATTAAAAGAATTGCTCCTGGTCCCTTTCTCTATCCACTGTGTCTTCTCTCTTTCCTTCTTCCCGAAGAGCCGCGATCAATGCTTGTTTCTGTATACACCGCAAACTCTAAAAAAATGATAGTATAGAAAGCCTAGATTGCAACGAAATCGAAACCTCTTAAGGTTTCCTATGGATCTAAAGCACCTTCAAAAAGACCTCTGAGGGATCTGGGATACTTTTTCAACGCTTCATAGTTTTCTTACGAAACTTTCGTTGGTGTCGTATCGCACTTTTTTTTAATGAAGTCAGTCATCTATCTACAGTTCAGAAAAAAAGTAAACCCAGTAAATAAATTCTGGAATACTGATGTTTTGGTTTATTAGCATTTGGGTAGGCGACACTGACTCGAATAGCTTGATTCAAATTCCGTTATTACACTTCGAACTTCACAATAAAAGTTTTGGCTTTTTAGCTACAGTGTTGTTCATCAAATGCTGAACATTTTACTGATTTTCGAACACAAATTAGACTTCTACTCCTCCTACACAGCCTGTACTAACAATAAGAGACCGAAAAAGGACTGAACATAACTATAACAGTTCGGTTCGATTCCGTTTGGGTCGAGCGAACTTAATTTTTGAAAAGCGAGTGAATGTAGACAAACTTATGATAAAAGTGATTGATTTGAGGTATCACGTTTTTTTTGTAAAAGTGTAACGCACTGGACACTGACCCAATGACGTTTGATTGATTGTTTAACATCAGAGACCGAAAATGAACCGTTTTTTTGCAATACACTCGAACTGAACAGCACTCACATTTATTTAAAAAAAACAAATACAAACGGAACTCGAACGGGCTTTTTAGAAAAGAAAAACGAACCGAACTGAACTCAAATCAGCAAAACTCGGCTCAATTTGGCCTCTGCTATCAATACACTCTCTACACTTTTTATATTATTATTATTCTAAACTCATGACGGACGTAAGTAATTTCTGATCATGATTTATATACGCACCCTTTTATTTCGAATAGGAATCTTTTTTTCTCAAGCAAAACTCTATTAGAGCTGAAAGGCGTATACACGCTTTGCCAACTGAATTCCTAGATCTATATAATATGCTAGAAAAGCGATAAAAATTTCAAGATAATTATTAAACTTTTCTTCTTTGTCAGTGGGAGAGCCTCGCCTTCCCTAGCCACCCTCTAGATACTCCACAAAATTGAAACCGAATAAACTTTATTACCTTTAGTGCGGTGATAATACTATTAGAACCTGACAAGATCACTATGACTCAGAACTATGATCTAATCTAGTTTTATCAAAAAGTTCTGATGTAAACTTCGATATAATAGAAATTTTAACAAAAGATTCAATTTTTCGTTGTTCACACATATTCATGATCAGACGTGATGAGTGGAGCAGATTAAATGGCCGCATTTTTAATTTCAAATTTTAATCACTTAATACAGTGTATTCAAGAAACAAAATATACCACAGAATGCAGGGCGACAAGCTC